CTCGTCACTATATCAACTGAGCTATCCTGGCTCACATGACTTTTCATCCATTAGTTCGCCTAATTAAGGGATTTTTATCCTCAAATATTTGTTTTTGTTTAATACGAAATATGTGGGAAATGTGGGCGCGGTGTGTGTTCTGTTCTTTCTGCTGGCCGCTTTTTGTCGGAGCTGCAATGCCCCTTGGCATTCCGGATTGTTGGTAGGCTACATGGCAGTCGCCGTTCGGCAGAGATTCCAGACCTCATCAACATGAGCGATGATGACAGGGCTCGAATATTAGCTCTCTTAAATTTTCTGTGTTCAGTGAGATTTATGCACGCTTCATGTTTAATGACACAGCATCCAGACATCAGCACGACACAGATGCGCAGCATTCTGTTGGCTAGATTAATTATAAAAGCGATTAATAGCTCTGGCGTTCTTTTTTTGTGGTTTCTAAACATTATTTGTAAAAATACAATAAGCTCAAATGAATGACACATTATATTTCAACGTTGTTGAAATCTTAGACCAAAAAAAAAATTGATAAGGATGTTAAAGTGTTACGTCAGCTAGAGGAATACCTAGGTGGTAACTAGCTTCTTATCGAGCAGGTTAGTGTATCGGTAAAGTGGAAACAAATAGAAAGAAATTAAGCAATAAATAAATAGGAAAAAACAAACTCCGTGGCTTGAATCCGCAAGCGAACTATACCGACCGAGCGACCGCCTATTGTCAGTTAGTGCCAACTTTAGCGGATAGAGGGTGTCGCATGGTCAGCGCAACGAATCCCCACGGCCGTTAATTTCGGTTTTCTAGACCGGAGCCACTATTTACTTGAAATAGCTCCTCACTTATCCTCACGAGGCTGAGTGGACCCAGTTCCAGACCCACTACTTCTCATAGAATTTGGTAGCGCCGGGAATCGAACCCAGGGCCTCTGAATCTGTAGCAGGAACTCTGACAACTTGACCACAGAGGCGGTCAAAGAAATAAGACAGGAAAATAAGGAAAGGAAAAGAAAAGAAGAATGATAGGGAAATGGAAGATACAGACGAACGATAGTTAGCAGAATGGTGAAGAGACAGAGGTACATAAGACACGGAGGTACATAAAAACTCGCCAATGGAACCTATTCTGACATTCAGTCTCCTTTGATAGAGAGTTTTCCCAAAGTGTACTGTCTCTTCTAGAACAAGAAATCCACCTCTTCGTCACCTAAAAACGATTATACAACGTAGCACGACACACGGTAATCAAGTAAACCGCCATAACTACGGTTTATATCTAATTAATTTCGATATTATATCAGTTTGTTTTCTACAAGAAATCTATGACGCGGATATTTATATTTTTTTATACATGGTAAAGTTAAAGCTATCCCTGTAACAGGCGGTGGATGGCCATAAGTATGTGAGACGTGAAGGCTCCCACATTTTCTAAACAATCGGCTCACAGATGGCGGTGAGCTTGTCAGCCTTACACGCCAGCCGCCTTTTACCCCCAGGAAGACTCCTAGTACTCATTTCTGTTAGAGGCAGAGTCGAACTCAGGGCCATAGTGCGGCTGAAAGGTTTAGGTCAATTGTAAAATTCATTAACTTCATCGGGGTTCGAACCCGCAGCCTTACGGCTTGCAACGTAATGCTTCAACCAACTACGCTACCGTGTGCTCCAATATATGAGCTGTAAAATTTCCTTTTAATATGGTACACCCCATTAAGTTGATCTTGAGTGACAGAAATATAGCGGGAGTTTGACCACAAGTAATCAGTAAAAGAAATAGACTAGATATGCCTAGATTGTAATTTACATCTTGTTCTACGTTGTAAAGTTTAATCTTATTTACACCATAAAGTCAAACACTTTGGTACAAGCGATAACGTTTGTGTTTCGTATTTTGTAGGTGTCCGATTCGAATCTCGGCTCTGGGCACACCTGGCCTTGGGGTTTTCGTGCTATTGAGTCGTACGAGGGCGCACAGAGAGGTCATCTTCAACTTGACGCAAGGGCACATGTCTCCCATGATGAAGCAAGGATCTCGATAACAAGCAAGACAGTCGTAATATAGTAAATACAAGATTTAGCATAAACTGGCTTCTTCGGATGACCTACAAGGGCGGGGCTCCAAGATAGATAAGTCAGAACATATCGAGAGAAGTTACGGTTAAGATCGCAAATGCTAGAAAAATAGCCACGAGTCAAAATAAACTAAGATGTAATATATTATTATTTATTATTATTATTAGAGGGGGTGGGTTTCCCCATGCACTTAGACCAGTTATTGGTCCATTGTGCGTCCCCCTTTAATTTCTACTGTCCCCATACCCTACCGGTACTGGTGCGTGCTATCAGCCCCGTTCAGCCAACGAGGTCGGCCGTCGGTACCTGATATTTCCCCCATCTACCAGAGGCGTTGGAAACTACTTTGGCGGGAAATTATTGCCTAATTTCGCTCAGAGGTCTCCTAGAGACATGAGGATCTTTTACGTGCCGTAAATCTACGACACGGGACCCACGGCTTAAAGTCCCTCCCGGAGGACTTGTTCCCTGAATTTTTCCGCCCTTAAAAGGATGTAATAGAACCTAGATGTTTATAAACAGAAATACAGGGTGTCCCAGGAGGAATGTGCCAGACTTCGGGAGGGTGTTCCTTATGTTAAAGTATGCCGATATAACCCAAAACACCTGTGTCCAAAGTTTAACGGTTATGGGGATAATGGCCAGAGAAGTGTGAAACTTTGACAGGTGTTACACACTTGTTGATTACCAAATACGTATTAAAACTGGCAGGAATATGTGGTTTCTGTAATGTTAATAATGTACATAACATCAAACTAACTTGTGAGTGACATGAAGCCATTAAATTGAACTAAAGAAAAACTCGCACGCCATGTCATAGTTGTCCTTAGGGTTCCAAGCACTATACGTGACACATGACTGGCAAGCACTGACGTAGCATGGCTGACTGTGCATTCTGGTATGCGAGTGTATGCGGCTAGTGTGAGCCGTTATCACCACGCTCAAGGACAAACATCGATAAGACTTGTCAGCTGACAGGTACGGTGACCCGCCAGAAGAACCCACTTTTTTTCGGGCCATTATCTCCGTAACCGTTCAACTTTGGACATAGGTGTTTTGGTTTATATTGGCATACTTTAACATAAGGAACACCCTCCCCGAAGTCTGGCACATTCCTCCTGGGACACCCTGTATAAGAGAGTAATAAATGATAATACATACAAGAAATGCAAAAATAAAGAAACACGAGCAAGTAATGGTTTACACAGAATTATATAAGACAAGTAAGTGGCTTAAGGCCACATACAAAATGGCGACTAGAAACTTCGTAACACGGCATAAAAAAACTGGTTGTCCAAGTTACAGCACGATTTCAAGCCGAGTTGCACAAGGATTAGATAGAATATGAGTCAAGAGTTAAAAGATAACAAAACAAGTTACTCCTAGGCATAGCACAGACCTAAAAGCAAGAATATCATGTGGGATAATACAAGATCATAACAGCCATGACAGGCCCGTAAACAAGAAATATGGATACAATTATTGCGTTCTTGGACCTTATCCGTCGTCCACTCTTTATTTAAAACAACGCTTCGGAGATTGGATTATGTCTCCGTCTTCAGGTAAAATCCTACTAAGTTGAGCCCAATAATAAAGCTAGTCCCTATCTCCGGGTCCAAGAATTTCGAAGAATATCTCCTTGCCGAAGTATAACACTTACATACTAGAATTCTCCATGCTCACAGACATAAAGGCGCTCACGCTGGAGCATCGCAAAGATAGAAAATGCAGTTTAAAGCAAGCAACACACATAACAACGAAACGTAATTTTGAAACAGGGCAACACGCGTCCACGATACTTTAACGTCTCCAGCAGGAAAAGAAAGAAGCAAGCAGGATGGCAGACAAAACAAGGGAAGGTCACGTGACATGATACGAAATTTTGATGGAGGAGAGTCGTTTGGGAAAGAAGGGAAAGTTTGGAGCTGGAGCTGGAGCTGAAGACAGGCAACGCAAGAGGGCGGGCAGAAACTCAAGTGAGCCGTCGAGGACGGTCATTATTCTTAGTCGAAACTGCTGGGATAATACCTCAAATTAGGCCACAACCACTTCCTTCCTTATGCTTTCTAATTCATTATTTATTAGATCACCCTGCCATTCGAAGCTGTGAAATCTGAGATGCTGAAAATGTCAGATAAACCACAGATAAATAAGTAAAATACGCCCTTATAATATTTACCTTAAGTCCTTTCTAATATTATCCTTTTCCTTTCAACAAATGAAAATGAAAAATAACAATTATACATTATATTATATTATAAATAAGTAAAGTAAAAGGTAAAGGAATCCTTGTAACAGGCCGTGAAGACCCATAGGGTTGTGAGACGTTGAGGCTTCCAAATTATCTAGACAATCGGCTCAAAGATGGCGGTAAGGTTGTCAGCCTTACGCGCCGACCGCCCTTTACCTCTCAGGAATATTCCTGGTACTCATTTCTGTTATAGGCTGAGTCGACCCCAGGGCCATAGTGCGGCTGGAAGGATTAGGTCAATGGAAAAAATCCAATTACCTCATCGGGACTTGAACCCGCGACCTTCCTGCTTGTAGCATAGTGCCTCAACTAACTACGCTATCGCGTGCCCCCAACAATTATATTATAAAGTAAAAGTAAAAAAGTAAAGTTATCCCTGTACCAGGCCGTGGAGGCCCATTGGGGTGTGAGACGTTGACGGTCCCACATTATCTAGACAGTCGACTCAAAGATGGCGGTAAAGTTGTCAGCCTTACTCGCCGGCCGTGCTTAACCCCCCAAGAAAATTATTTAATTAATTCCTGGTACTCATTTCTGTTAGAGGCTGAGTCGACCCCAGGGCCGGGCACAATATATTTTCTAGAACAGACCCAACTTGAAAGCAGGGATGTCCAACACTTAATCTTGACCCAACGGTTTTCAAGAAAATTCATTTTTCCCTTCATTTTCCTCTGTTGCATGATCAGGACGAGAAAAATCAGATCCTGACTACGAACTGCTGGCTGACGCAAATATGGACCGACCATCATCTCAAATGGAACGCTTCAGACTTCGCAGGTATCAAGGTCATCAGGGTGCCGTACCAGAGGGTCTGGAGACCGGACACCGTTCTCTACAATAAGTGAGTCCAGACATTAAGTTATCCCACAGTTTGGAACGGATTAACTGTGACTTCATGATAATGTTACATCATGTGACAGCAGGTATGACATCTGTTGAGAGTTCGACAAGTTATCGCCACATATGTTACGTAACATTCCACACCATTAGCTTTCCCTGCTTTCTCTCATATTCCAAATCTGCACTGTATCACATAACGCGTCGAGGCCGATGTTTAACGCCATCTCCCGAGAATAACACATACAAATATTTAATCGTAAACTGTCTTCTTGACACAGGATACTATACTTCACACGTAAAAAAACTCCGTGCCCTGCAGTTGGCACTAATTCGCGGACAAGCGGCGGTCGCTCGGTCGGTATGATTCCCTTGCGACTCAAGCCACGGAGTTTAACAAACTATGTTCTTATTTCAGTTTCGTACATTCCGCATTTTTCAGCAAATTATTGCTTTCGGCAATAATTCTCATAGTAATGATAGTAATAGCATTGACTGACTGATCTATTTCTAATGTATGAATCTGAAAGTGCAACACATTTAACACAAGAATGCGCCACTAGTCTTAATTCTAAGTCAGCAACAAACGAGCAACAGTAGAACTACGATGTTATGCAACCCGTTTCTAAGCAACGGAATGGTAAACACTCGCCTACAACTATAGGGTTATTGTTGGAAATAATGTTTTCTATTCGTCCGTGCAAAGTGGTTGTAAAGAAGACAGTTGAGGTAATCGAGTTAGTTGAGAGTTGGCAGCTCAGTTGAGCTCAGGAAGGGAGGCTGAGACGAGATGTCTATATAGTTGAATGGAATTGAAAGAGTTCAGTTGCTGGACTTTTGCCGGACAGGAAGTACCTGTCATTGTTAAGAGCCGTTATCAGGTAACGGCTGTTAAATACACTGCGAGCTGGAGAAGACTTAGTGTTTGCAGCAGTGATTTGTAAAGTGCGGAGATGAGCAACGGCGCTGTAATTACTTGTAGTTCCGAGTTGTGTCGAAGTTCAATATCCAATCCATAACCCGTCTATATTCACACCCCTAAATCGTGAGAGTATGATATGTAACCCACAGAATGGACACCGTCCAAAATAATATTCGCACAATGAATTAACTGTTGTCTGGAGCCTGTAGGGAGTCGTGACACCGTCTGCTTTTCCAGAGAAACGATCTTAGTATCGAACCATTTCGCAATAATTTAGGTCACCATGAAGGATATTCTAACAGTAAAGTTACAAAGAATTTCTCGGTGGTATAACCCCTCGAATGGCTCTACTTTTAGGGCCATGCCATCTTGTCTCCCATTCTTGTTCCTGTGTTTTTGGATATTACGTTTTAATTTTGGAAAATATTTTCTCTTTTTATGATTATACATGCTTGTGCTAATGGTTCTGATGAAATTGTAATTACAGAATAGTGAAATGTTTCGCTCTTTAACGTTTGAGAGAAACCACAGTTGCAGCATATTGCACGCACGCACACACATATATTGGAAAGAATTTTGATTTATGGACGTATGTAATGACGTCACATGTTAACATACTAAAATAGCCTCATGCCGGAAATTTTATATTTATGCATTTGTTATTTTAATGTCCTCTGACCATTAACATAAAAGAGAACTACACTCCGTTGGAATAAAATTTGTCACAGCGGTGGTTATGGAGAGTACCATCTTCTGGTATATAACGCCGTGTGGTCCGGTAGAAGACAGCTGACGTTTCGCAGCAACTTACTGCCTCATTTTTCAGAATCGATGCAAGTAAGAAACCAGCTAGAAAAGCTCCCTGTTTCTTGCATGTTTGTTACTTGGTTTATTTTTCGAACATGAAAAAGGAGGCGGTGCGTTCTTCCAAAAAATAAAAAAAGTGGAATCCTACCGGACTACACGGCGTCACATTCAAGAAAATTATACTGGACTAGGTTTATATCGAGATTTGTATGTACTTCATTGTCATTGAAAAGTTATATCATATGGGATACAGCGCATTGTAGTCCGTTGAAGGTCAGGTGATGTTTCGAAGACACAGGTTGCTTCCATCTTCAAGGTTTGAGACTAAGCCGAGTAAGAAATGAGCATGATGCAGGCAGTCATTTTTATTTATTGCTGCTGTAAGTCTTGTAGTGGACAAAGTAAAACTTGTTTAATCATGTCATCGATTCAGCTTCTCATTTATTTTAAATCTTGCGTTAAGCTCAGTCAAGACAGTGACTAGGCTATGAACTGGACACCCGGGGTTCAATTACTGGCTCATTATCCCGTTGGTAAATAGGGGCTTTTTCTTAAAAAGTAAAAAATGTTTATACGCTTCTACGCTGAAGGTAGCGGTCATTGGTAACGTCTTACCACACTACACGGGGTCAAACCCCAGACGACAATAATATTCATAGTCACTGTAGGGAGGGCATGAAATCTAAGATAACGCAAGAAAATGAAATTCGAGCCACAATTTTCAAAATACAAAGAATTCCGCACTTATTTCAGGCGCTGTTCTCAGAGAAAACATAAAAAAGATTCGATTGGAACTTCTTTCAGCGTACGCTAATTAGATTTGTTTATGATATGGATTTAAAATATTGGTTTTTCTTTATTCCACAATTAGGTTAAGCGTGGTTTTCTTTTCTGCACGAAAATCTTTTAATTTCTTTTTCTTATTTGTAAAAACTTAATCACGAAGTTTGAAGCCAAGTCAGGGTCTCCTCTATTCCATTGCTTGGTCTGAAGAGCTTTCCGTTTTCGGTTCGCTCCCCCCCCCCACTTCCATCTATGTTATGATACGTCAATATTCATATTCCTCTTTCGTCCCTTTTTCCGTGTTGGCTGCGAATTACTGCGAGAGGACAAGACAACGCCGTGGATTATGAATCTGTAAGAGGTGGGTCTTGTAAAACTCAGTTCAGCCACCGAGCAGGCTGATGTAACTTTTGGTGGGGGATGTGTCAATATCTGAACTATGTAGCTTCGAATGGTAGGATGATTCGTAAATGATGAATTGGAAAGGATTTGGAAGGAAACTGTCTTGGCTCAGTCGAAGCACATCTCTGTATTTGCTTGGAGGGACTGAGGAAAACGACGAATAGTCTCATTCAGGGTAGCTACCATCTCTGCTCAAATTCGAACCGAAACCCTCTATAATATAAGTCCAAAGCGATACCGCTAGACTGATCGATTAAGGACTGTGTATCGCAAGAGTATTGAAGTGTAAGAAATTATGATGGACAGAACATGTAGCTCGTATTAAGGCGACAAATAAATACAAGAATTTATTCACAGGAACTATTAGAAGTGGTCATTTGGAAGACCAAGCACGAGATGGTAAAATAATACTGTCACGTATGAGAGTGCTTATAGATGAGGTTTGGATTGGTGATTGGATTTATTGAACACTTACACAAACAACTCGTAGCTACAAGTAACTGTAACAGCTTCACTTATTTACACACTCTAACTGCAGACCATATAAACTCTTCTTTGTCTTCACTAGTCGTATCCTGGTAACGGATCCTAACAATGCCCTCTGCTTACGTCCTTACAGACTAGCGAACATCCCACAACTGACTCATTGGTTCAACTTACTAACTCCCAAGTTAGCGGCGATCTCACAACAATCATCTACTCTTCTCTTCACTAACTGAAAACTTGTCACCGTTATAACATCTCTGCCCGGACTGCGTAGAAAACACCGCCACTCACTTTTGTAGTTCAATCGTTTCCGTGACATGTTTGTTTGCGAAGCCGTTACTCAACAAAGGCTCTCCAGATCTAACGCCGTTAGATTATTGCATTTGAGGCAAGATGAAGGACATTGTGTACCAGGTAAAAGTACAAACACGTGAAGCATTGCTTGAACGTATTCTGGACGCGGCGATGACAATAAGGAACAAACGTGTGGAACTGCGAAATGCTACGAGCGCGGTTCATACGCGTGCGACGCGTTGTGTTGACGTGCAGGGAGTCATTTTTGAAAATCTTATGTAAATCCAGTCGTCTTCTAAAGCAATACAGTTTAAAGGAAACAGATTGATAGAAGGGTGTGATATGCAACCATTGGTATGTTTACAGAATGGGATGCTGAAAATAATGTAATTTTGTAACATAAAATCGATGAAAAATGTTGCACAATGCAAAATTAAAAAATTGAAAAAAAAAATGGTTTTAGAATGCTTCTTTCTAAAACATTAACGATTTAAAAAGTGTTTGTATCCTATTTCTAATTTGTTTTGACTGAAATTCAAAGAAAAAAGATTTTGCGCCAGTTTTCAAATTACTGTATCTCAATGTTATATTTTAGCGCCCTGTTGCACTGATTTATGTCCATGATTTATTCTGACCGTCTTACAGTGCATACATTTATTCACCTTACTCATCTCTCTTGCACTACATGTTTCAGGACCAAAGTGCCATCTTCAGGTGCTTTTCGATGTACGTCGAACTACTTCATTGCATGCCGGAATATAATGAAGCAGGGGCATGCAATGAAGTACTTTGACGTACATCGAAAAGCACCTGAAGATGGCACTTTAGTGCTGAAACATGTAGTGCAAGAGAGAAGAGTAAGGTAAATTACTGTATCTCTTTGATTATGAGTTGGATACCATTAGTATATTAAAATTTTTTGTTCCAAATTACCTCAGGAATGCCCTCCCTAAGTAGGGGTAAAACTTCGTGAATCACCCTGTATTTATATCGCGGTCGTTGCCCAGCAACGGGTCAGCATGCTACAATATTAAGACAATATTCCAGTTTAGTGGTCCCCGAATATGGGTATAGCGTGCTACAGCTAGACCAGCCAATTATGTGCATAGTGGTAACGCTCTAGAATCTAGAACTTTTGGATATGGATCTAGAGTCTAGATCCATATCCAATAGGGTCTTGTTTCGAATCTCGGCCAGCACAAAGATTATACTGATAGAGTTTTATTTTGTAATTTTCTTTCAGTCTTTCCGAGCAAACTGCGGGACAGTACCTCGGTTAGATCATATTCCCTTCCTTCGAAATCCTTTCC